GTTCGATTACAGATTTGAAACCTGCATCTTCTTTGGGAATTTTAAAAGGAGTAGCTGAAATCTGGGCATTGCCAGTGGTAATCAAAATAGTTTCTTTGGGAGGATGACTGGAAGAAATCAAAGTTTTGTCCTCCTTAACCCAATTTTCTTTGGTAACAACCGTAAGTTTGTTTTTTTACTCAAAATGTTTTTCAATAAAATCAAAGAAAGATATTTTAAATTGATATTGCTCTACAAAAGCCTTCCATTCTCTGTAAATGGTTAGTTTTTCTTCATCAGAATACTTTTTCCTGAAAACATTTCTTCTAGGTATATTTTCAACAGATTCGATGTCAGCTTTGAGCTTCTTCCACCGAATTTTGTATGATTTGTTTAAAACAAATAATTGGTGATTCACCGATGTTGTTTCAAAATTATAGGCTATGGGTGAGGTTTGTTCTTCCTGATTCTGAGGTTGGTAAACAGGATGTGCTACCTGTGATGATGTGTCTACTGACTTTAGTTTAATATTAATCAAATCATTGATTAATTCTTGCTGAGCAATTGCAGAATTAGCTTCCTGCTCTTTTAACTTTTTATTTATCAAAGATTTTATTAAATCTTGATCTCGACCCAATCTATCGGCTGATGTGGATCCAGAAAAAGAATTCCTGCTAGAAGCAAATGATTTATGTGAATGTACTGATTCACAATATCTTCTTGCTGGTCGGTCAAAATTAATTTTTACCGTACCATCAAAATATTATTCAACATTGTCAAATTTGACAAGGCTGTTTTGTATAACTACTGGCTTACTTTCATTGATTAAACACCAATCTGAGGGTAGACTGATGTCTGACCATCTAATGGTTCTGGGAACTATTATATTTGCATTTTCTTAGGCTGTTTGGATTAAAAGTGTATGTTCACGAGGACTCTTGGTTAAAGCTTGAAAATCCATGTTTGTGTCAGTGACTTTGTAATAAACTCTGTAAATAAATGTCAAAGGCTGTGTTCCTTCAAGGACTTGGTATCCTGAAGTTTTAATATTGAGTGTGAGAGCTTTCAGCATATGTGGATCTGAAAGACTTATGGTTAGATCTGGGAAACAATCAAAATGGATAGGTCCGTTATAAAGACTGGATTCAATCATTCCAAGTATACTATCACTGAAATCAGTGAATCTAGCATCTCGGAGACATAATAGAATAGAGGTATTAAGACTTTTTCTTGTTAGTGGTTTAACAACTATTTGGACTAGACCAATATGAATATAGTTATGACCATCTTTCCTATGGGATTTGATTTGCTCAGGTGAAAATAATTGATCAGTCTCATGTTCTTTACTAAGTGCATAAGCATTTTCAACAGTTTTAACATGATGTTCCGATTTAAAAGAGGTCAAAGACCATTTTTTCTTATAAATATTTTTGCTTAAAACTTTTGGAATGTTCCGATCACCAAAATCAATACTATCATCAGTTTGAAAATCTAGTTTTGTTCTTCATGTATGATATCTGGTATAGTTCCTAAGTTGGACTTGGAGCTAGTGCTGGCTATTGAATTAGATCTAAACAATCTACTCATAATAATCACAAATCAGAAATTCTATATGCAAAACTTAAATGATTCACCTTCCTCATGGATTGTCTAAACCCTTTCCGCGCTCATGCCTCACCTCGGGCCTTACTGTTTGGACCACGCCTTACTATTTGGTTGGGAGTTCAACAAATAAGGACTGACAAATAAGAAATTGTAGATAGGACAAAAGAAATGTGAATACAGGAATAGATCATATAGATGCTAATGCAATTACCAACCACTTGGCTTTGATACCAAATGAGGGAACTAATACCAATCAAAGATAGATTAGAGATTAGAAGATAAATTAGGCGGTAAAACCGTCCATAAAATTAAGATTGCGGAAGAAGAATAAATATAAAGAGCCTAACAATTCAATATATTGAATCATGAAGAAATGAGGCTGATTGAAACGGAATATCCATGGATGGTAGATAATGACATAAATGCATAAAATTAAATTGAACATAGGTGATATATCCATGAAAATAATGAATTAAAATTAATGATACTGATAAGTTATGGAAATAAGCTTTTATTAAAACTTACTGAAGTTTACAAACTATTTTTGCCTAATGGCAGATGATGGACATAAACAACATGGAGCTCGCAGGCATCCTTGATAATATAACTTATAAATATTTGATTTTTCTACTGAATGTTTTCTTTTGTTCTTTCAAATACGCAGAAGATTTTCTTCGACTAAAAGTCCCTTTCTTCTGATAATGAACTCTCCTTTTATCCTCCTGAGAGGAATGATTGAGGCTGAGTAAATTGAGCCGGGATTCCCACTTGCATGTACTGCTAGCTGTTAAAGGCTGGCAAAATGATGAAGTTTTACTGTGGATTCACGATCTGCTTTTCAGAAAAGTTGGATGAACAGTAATTTGTCTGTTACTACTGTTGATGAATAGTGACTTGTCAGGAATCTGAAATGATGACTGCTACTGCTAATGATGCTTTTCAGGATACGATCACATGAGAAGTTATTACAATTTTGAATTTCAAATTTCATACGGCTCTTGGGCATTTGGATAGTCCGACCATTTGACCGGATGTTGGGACGAGGATTCCGATGAGTCTGAATCTGTGTCCGAGTCTTCTCTTTTGTGGAGCATTGCTGCTTCGGCCATTAGCTGTTGAGCTAAGTCAAGGAGTTGGGAAGATTTTGAGGATTTCTCTTTTTTCTTTGAACTGGGGGATTTGGAAGACTTAGGTTTTCCTTTAAGAGAGGATGAAGGACTAATGTCTGATAGTAATTGAATTTGTTCCTGGGTTTTTGGGAGTTCAGGAAATTGCTGGTTTTCTAGCAAAGCCTGTGTTGAAGGTGTAGAAATGGGCGGGGTTGGAATAAGAGGAAATTTTGATTTTACTAAATCTATGATTTTTTTTATGGTTGAATTTGTCCCACCATTTTACCCACCGGGTTCTGTAAATACCACCACAGTCTGCTTCAAAATTCCTGAAATATATTTATGTATTGAATTGAGTTTTTTAGGGTAATTTAGGTAATAAATTTATGTTTAAAGAGACATTGATAGTTTAATTAAAAGTAATATGGGTGTAGATAGTAAGTTTGTGTAAAAAGAGGTTATATGAGTTCAAATAAAAAATTTCTTTTGTAATTTAGCATATATTAGTTAATTTTGATTAAAAATTTGATTGGTTTTTGCCACTTTGGTGTTGGATTTGGGAATTGGATGATGATCATAATTTTGGTTGAAATTTTTTATGTTGGTTGAAGTTTTGAAGCAAATAGCATGAATATTTTGTGAGTAAGTTATGATCGAAAATGATTTGCACATTTAAAAATATAAAAGGCAGCCACATTTTTACAATTTTGCTCAGCTTGATTGAAATTATTTTTATTGTAATATTATAATCGATCACCAGAATTTTTAAAGTTGTGCTCAACTTGCTTTTGTACCCCAAAAAGCAAATTGTCAGAAATCAGCCACCAACATATAAATTGTGCTCTCTTCCACCGTACAACTGCCCACTTAGTGGAAAGCCTCTGTTAGAAGTGAAACACAAAAAAGGGTTGTATTTGTACTTACTTCTTTGAGCACAAAAAACTATATTATGCCTTATGACAAAAAAGCATGCCCATAAAGGACACACATAATATTTTAGTTGCTAAACTGTTGGTATTGTTATAAGGACACCTATATTGGTGTCCTTTGGCCTCATAGGGCACAAATAACTTCTTGTGCACATTCCTCATATTTTTATAGTGCTTTTGGTAATTACCACTTGTATATGTAACTAGTTGAACATATATCGTTACTCCATGACATGCATTTGCATAGCCTCCTTACTGTCTCATGCCGTGGTTGTTGATAATATGTAGCTCGACGGCCCCAATAAGTAAGTACATTTCAACTTAAGTTTTGTCTCAAAGCAATTTTCATTCAGTACAAAGAATGTTCCTTCTTGTACTTGGTCTTGGTGAATATGTGAACATATTAAAATAAACAGACTCAATTGTTTTAGGAGAATACATATTCTTCCATTTGTAAATAACATATCTTGATCGAATAAAATCAACCGGAATTGATCAATTTATTAATCTTTATTTGAAGATCAACCTTACAAAAAATCATTCGAATTGAAGATTATTTAATCATTCAAATGTATCCAATAAATAGATGGTTCATTATGAATATATGACTTTGTACCTAAACACTCAATTTCTTCTATACATATTTGAATGACTAAATGATCTTCGATTTAAATAATTTTTCATAGAGATGATCTTCGAATAGATATTATAAGAAAATTTAATGATTCCGATTATAAAATTTGTGCGGTCATACGTTGCAAGGAGGGACTGAGTTAATTCCCAAAAACGCAATGCAAGTTTATCCATATTGTTTTATATGCACCCTTATATTATATACATGATTAGACACCTTGGAAGATTATTAACCTAGCTTTTGCAATTTATAGAGAGAGAGTCAGCAATGTTGAATTAATTAGTCATACCATTGACTTATTAATAGGTTAAACCCATATGGCCAAGACATGAAATATTATATAATTTGGTAGTTCAAGATGAATATACGTTTGTGGTAATTACAGAGTAAACTATTAATACCATGGGAAATAAAATTATTAAATATATTATATCTTTGTAGTCACGGCGTGTTTGCCTCCTAACAAGACAATGTACCTCGATCAACATCTACCAAGTTATGTAATACAACCAAGTTAATGACCAAAAAAAGATTATTTTTAATCAGACGTAAATAGTAGTAGCATACTAGGTGGCATATTGTAGCAAGGACGCAGAGTACGCATAGCCTTAATTTTGTATTGCTTGGGAGTATACCGTTATATATACTTGGAATTAATTAAGGTACTAATCACAACCAAAAAAGAATACTGAAGCAGCTAGTAATCCTAAATTCAAGATGAAGAGATTACTTTGCTATATGCTAATGGGGGTGAGATCCAGCAAGTTTTTGAGCCAGTTGATCGCAGCTCAAGGAGTGAAAAGAGTGAAAATCCCTCGTTTGATGACACCAAAAGGTTATGTGCCTGTTTGTGTTGGTGTAGATGGTGATACAAAGCGTTATATGGTTCATACGACGTTGCTTCGTCATACAGAGTTCTTGGAGATGCTTCATAGATCAGCTGAGGAATTTGGTTTCTACAATGACGGTGTTTTGAGGATTCCATACGAAGCCAAGGATTTTGAGAAGCACTGGATGATCAAAAGATCCAAACCCAAGATTTACAAGGTTGAAACAGTTCAATTAGCCTATTAGATTGCTTGATGAAATTATTCAGAAAAATGCTTTTATAAATTAGTTATATGTTCATTGCTGGTTCATGTTAGCTGGCCATTAATTATATGATGGTGTCAAATTGCACTGTACTCTTCTGGCTTGTGAAATGAAATTTATGTTCATTCTTTCTTATTTGTGTAAGGATTATTTGTATATGTTCTTTGTGTTTATAAATTATTAGCTGTCAATGTTAAGATGATGGAAGCCTATTTTATTTTTATTCATAAATATTTTTACAGTGGAGATGTATAATATACAAAATAATACTTGCATCCCAATAATGCAATGTCACCACTTACAAATAACGTATTTTTATGGTATAAATTTTATAATAGGAGCAGTTCAATTTTTTAATATTCATTTGAAGCTCATCCCTAAGAAAAAACTAAAAATTATTCTAATCAGAGAACATTTAGTCATCCAAATATATCCAATAAATGGACAGTTCATCATAAATATATGCCTTGATACTCAAACCATCAAATTGTTCCATACATGTGTATGCATAATGATATCCGATTCAAATGTTTTTTTTTTTTTTTAAGGAATGATCTTCAAATAAAGATTAAAAAAAATTAAACAATTTACCCTTTTTTTTTTTCGCTTAGTGAGTTTATTTTTTCAGTTAGCATGAACACCGTACAAAGTAAATTATATTAACACCTCTTGAAGTTTGTTGAGCTTTCAAAAACTCCTTTTTGGTTTGAAATATTACACTAACACTCTTAGAGATTTTGTTTCATTTTTACATCACCCCTAAAAAGACACATTTATCCTTATATAGAGATGCAATAGGTGTAACTATGCCCCATACCACAAAGGTGGAAAATGTTGATTGATCCAACAAACAATTCTAGAAGAAAAAAGATTTAGGGTATATAGAGAACAAAAACCTACATATGCATGTTGTGCGAGCAATCAAGAAGAGTTGTATGTCAAACGTAGTGTTCATAGAAATCTCAAAGCAACCATTGTTTTTACAGAGAAAGCCACAAAGAGGGACGAACAATATTAAACTGAAAAAGTGACTTATTGCAAGGCTTTATGTGTATAACTGTATTAGACAACTAATACTTAAGCTTAACTAACAATATATAGCTAACTAACTTATAACGAAAAAAATAAATAAATAAAACAATAGCTAACTAATCTATGACTGACCTTACACTGTCACGTCAATAACTAATGTGAGTACAATGCATTATTGTAGTCATCCAATGGTATCCAGTATTCACGAGCTCTCTTATGTTCTTTTGTTTTTTTAAAGTACGTATGTGATTGATTCCCTATATCCATTTGCATAGTGAGCATCTCTAAAAGAGAACTAAAAATGTTTACATCAGTAATAACAGTAAAAAGATATAATTAGTGTACCCCAACCAAAAATGCCAATTCTTTTGTAGTATCATATGAATTTACAGCAAAAGTGGTTACCGTCAAATTTGACAACAACTTCAAATCTATTTTTAGTGATTAATAAATGTTTATTTTTAACATTTTTCTTATTATTTTTTATCCTAAAAATGCATATAACAATTATAAAAAATAAATAATGTAATAAATAATTGTTTAAATTTGCTATATTTGGTGGAGAACAAAATTTAAAACATGATCAAAGTGACACATATTAATATTTGTCTCTTGCGGTGGATATTAACAAATCATAGCTACCTTAGCTCATATATTAATACTTGTCAGTTATCACTTAAGATTTGTCTCAACTCATTTTCCTTTGAGTACACAAATAAGGCTCCTTCTTGTACTTGGTCTTGGTGAATATGTGAAAGGCAGTTTGTGTCGTTGGCTTCCTCTTTTGAGGTTGTGCATTTTTTGAACCAACAGGTCTGCCATACTTCAGGGTATGAACAGATGATTGGATAGCTTTCAGTGTACTGGGTTATGCGGCCAACCGTCCTTTAAGGGCGGTTTGTCCTTCAAATGCGATGTTTCGACGTACACATAGTACATCTATCCTTGCAAGTGCTTGCTGCTGGTAGATATAATCTCGTCATTTTCACTAGACCATTAAAAGCATCAACCATGCTTTGAGCAACACTTTGTAGATCTAAAATGCGTTGCACATTAGTTTCAGATTGGAAGGGATCTAGATGATACATAGTAGGGTTAATCCATAATAATTCGCGACATTCTTTAGGAACATTAATGTTCTTATCTCCCTCTAAGAACATGAAGACTGCCTCATCGAAGTGACAATCCGTAAAATGTGCAGTAAAAATATTGCCTGTCAAAGGCTTTAACTAATAAATAATTGGAGGCAACTCATAACCGACATAAATTCCTATTCTTCTCTGAGAACCCATTTGGTACGTAGTGACAACGAAATTAGCACGTAAACTACGCAACCAAATAAACGTACATGCAAGATGTTAGGCTTATACCAATAACGAACTGTAGCAGTGAATAGGGTTGGGTGGTGATAGGTCTCAAGTGAACCAACATAGCTGCGTGTAGAATTGCATAACCCCAAGCAGATTTTGGAAGCTAGGTATGCACAATTGATAACGCTTTATGAACACTTCTACTAGGCCATTTTGGGTGTGAACACGGGGTATCAATTGTTCAACTTTAATCCCAACTAATATGCAATAATCGTTGAAAGTCTGCAACATAAACTCTTCAGCATTATCCAGTCAAATTGATTTAATTGAATAGTCAGGATGGTGAGCCTTCAACTTAATAATTTGTGCCAGAAGTTTCACAAACACAGCACTGCGTGTGGACAATGGGCAAACATGTGACTAACATGTCAATGCATCAACCAACACCACAAAGTAACAAAATGGTCCACAGGTTGGTTGGTAGGCCCACAAATGTCCCCTTCAATCCACTTAAGAAAGGTTGGAGGTCCTTTTAAACTTTGTTGAAAGATGGATGGTGATAAACTTACCCCAAGAACAAGCTTTGCAAGAGCGCAACCAGGAATGATGTGCACTTACTTTGGGTAAGCAAATTCCTATGTGTTACTTTAAGGATATAGCTAGGGATGGCAATTTAATCCGTCAAACTCGATCCCCACAGGTAACCGACCTGAACAATTCGGTTTCGAGGATCAAATTTTAGGTTTTTTACGATTATGGGTAACCGTTGGGTAAATTGTTAGGTTTCGAGTTCAGTTATGGTTATAGAGGTATCCGCTTCAAACCCGTACCCGAACCCGCCCCATTTTCGTTTTAATAAAAAAATATAAATATTTATTTTTTATATTTTTTTATAAAAGAATGAAATCCCTATTTTTTTTTTTCTCCATCAACTTTAATACTCTATCAATTGAGGGATTCCGGGAGACTCCAAAGGTCTTAAGTGTGCAGAAAAGGTCTCTAACTTTATTCCAAAAAATTTAATGCTTTCAATCAATCATGGAATCTGGAAGAACTCAAAGGTCAGAAAAGATGTTCAATACTTCATTTTTGGGAAGAAAAACCTATTTGTTTTCTCTTACAAATTTGTAGCAGCAAATATTACTTCAAGCCTTCAACCTTTTGCGAATCTCCAAGTTTCTGAATCCATCAATAGGTTTGTTTTCTTCAAATTATTCTTCTTTGAGGTTGAAATATCATTGTTTTCTTCCTTCTCTTCTTTGGAGTTGAAATATCATTGTCTTGATCAATAGGCATGCATTTACCTGTACCTTAACTGGAAAAAAAAAAAAAAAAAAAAAAAAAAAAAAAAAAAACCATTGAAACTCTGTTAGACAAGAGTCCATAGTGCAATATGCTTAGTCATTATCTTAGAATATTACCTTTGCAATCTCTCACATATAGGACTCTTGATCATAATGTAATATAAAACCTTGTATACGTCTATGAATGAAGCAAGCAATTTCAACAATATATCTACCTATTAAACTCTCTCTTTCTCACGCTTATAGTTTTCTACAAATTCCTTTTGCGTTGGCTAAAAGCATTGATTGATAATGTATTCTAAAATGCGTGCTCTTGTTTTGAACTTGCAGTTAGCAATTTGGGAATCATTTCATCGAATCCGATGGTGTATTCAATTTTGTTGGAGTTTTCGCTCCTGCTGGTTATTCTGTTGCTTTTGTAACATCCCACATCGCCTAGGGGAGTGGATCATGTAAGTCTTATATGTATATTCTCATCTCTACATAGCACAAGGTCTTTTGGGAGCTCACTGGTTTCGGATTCCGTAGGAACTCTGAAGTTAAGTGAGTTCGTGCGAGAGCATTCCTAGGATGGGTGACCCACTGGGAAATTCTCGTGTGAGTTCCCAAAAATAAAACCGTGAGGGCGTGGTCGAGCCCTAAAGCAGACAATATAATGCTACAATGGAGTCGAGCCTGAGATCTGGTGGGGGCCTAGGTCGGGATGTGACAATTTGGTATCAGAGCCAATCCCTGACCAGAAGTGTGCCGACGAGGACGTTGGGCCCCTAAGGGGGTTAGATTGTAACATCGCACATTGCCCAAGGGAGTAAATCCTAGAAGCCTTATATGTATATTCTCATCTCTACCTAGCACAAGGCCTTTTGGGAGCTCACTGACTTCAAGTTCCGTAGGAACTCCGAAATTAAGGAGTTCACACGAAAGCATTCCCAGGATGGGTGACCCACTGCGAAGTTCTCGTGCGAGTTCCCAAAAACAAAACCGTGAGGACGTGGTCGAGCCCTAAAGCAGACAATATAATGCTACGATGGAGTCGAGCCCGGGATCTGGTAGGGGCCCAGATCGGGATGTGACAATTTGGTATCAGAGCTAATCCCTGATCAGAAGTGTGCCGACGAGGACGTTGGGCCCTTAAGGGGGTTAGATAACATCCCACATTGCCCAATGGAGTAAATCCTATAAGCCTTATATGTATATTCTCATCTCTATCTAGCACAAGGCCTTTTGGGAGCTCACTGACTTCAAGTTCCGTAGGAACTCCGAAATTAAGCGAGTTCGCACGAAAGCATTTTCAGGATGGGTGACCCACTGCGAAGTTCTCGTGCGAGTTCCCAAA